TCCCGGATCACCTCGAGAAACGAACCCAAAGGCTCTTTTAAGAGCCACCCACTTCTTCCTATGAAAGGGCTGTGTTGCTTTGTATTTGTTTGTTCTGGCTTTATAAGCCATTCCCTTCGCATGCTCCCGCTCTTTGAGCACCCGTCTTTTCCATGTAAGTCTGCAGCTTCTCGGCGGCTGTACTACACGAATGAAATCGGCTACACCCTCCCCCGCCCCCAAGAAAATAATCCCTTGTTTTCTCATACGCGGTGTATTTGACGGACACGGCAGGGTTTGTGGAGGAGCCTCTTGATCACCTTTCAGCGCGCCCTAGCCCAGGCCCGTGTCCAGCGCCGATCGGGTTAAGCGCCCGCCCGCGCCATTTCCAAAAGCCCGCGCGGGCGCAGATTGGCTCCGACACGCTCCCTGCCTGGCAGAGCCCGCGCTCCGCTCTCGGGACGATCGTGCCAGCACAGCACGCCCCTCCAGCCCCGGGAAAGTAACAAGAGCTAGCTCTCTCCCCCACGTCGGCTCACGAACACAGCGGAGACCCGCCCGGCTGCCACTGAGCTCTCCGGCAGAACCGGACCGGCGCGGCTACGCGAAAGAGACACATCTCAACCCAACAACCACGCACACACCCAAAATCGCACACAAAAATCAAGCGCCCCCTTTAACCCCCCCCCGATGCGCGATCCGCAGCGTCTCAAGCTCTTTTTCGAGGCTGTGGGTGGCTCTGAAAAGAGCCTTTGGGTTCGCTTTGGGCTCGGGACGCTTTCGCCGCCGGCTTTACTTGCTCTTGGCCTTGTGGCTTTCAGTCTTCTTGGGCAGCAGCACGGCCTGGATGTTGGGCAGCACGCCGCCCTGCGCGATCGTCACCTTGCCCAGCAGCTTGTTGAGCTCCTCGTCGTTGCGGATGGCGAGCTGCAGGTGGCGGGGGATGATGCGCGTCTTCTTGTTGTCGCGGGCCGCGTTGCCCGCCAGCTCCAGGATCTCGGCCGTCAGGTACTCCAGCACGGCCGCCAGGTACACGGGCGCGCCGGCGCCCACCCGCTCGGCGTAGTTGCCCTTGCGCAGCAGGCGGTGCACGCGGCCCACGGGGAACTGCAGCCCGGCCCGCGACGAGCGCGACTTGGCCTTGGCCCGCGCCTTCCCACCCTGCTTCCCGCGACCGGACATCTTCCCTGGCTCGCTCCGCAACAAACTCTCGCCCCGCGCTACAGCAGCAGCAGCTCAGTGCCGCCCGCCCTCAGCCGCCGCTCTTATATCCCCTCCCTCCGCGCCGCCGCCGCCTCCCCATAGGCCAAGGAGCCCGCCGGGGAGGGAGCCGCCCAATGGCGCAGCGAATCTCGCCCGAACCAATCGCGACGGGCGCACCGCCCAGAGGCTCCGCCCGCGCTCTCCACGCGGCCAATGACGAGGCGGCACGGGCGGGACTCAGCGCGCGGCCCCGCCTGCCCAGAACCGCCGCTCCCGCTCCCGCTCCCGCTGCCGGACCCCGGGAGGGTTCGCTCCCCCTCGCTTTTCTTTGCTCTAGTCCTTGAAAGCCGCCGGCATACACAGTGCGGGTTACCAGAGCTCAGTTGCGGAAATAGAGGGGAAGAGAGAGACACCCGGGCTGTTTCAGTGAGCGGGAGAAAATAAGGGGAGTCAGGATAGGCGGTACCTTCTTGCACTCTGAGCATTTTCCCCGCAGAAGGATTTCTCCCTTTTTTAGCATCGCGGCACCCCTACGTTTCCCGGTCTTTCAAAACTACAGACTTTCTGAAATGACAAGGACACAGCACCCCAGTCCCTTCTGTACCCTTAAGTGAACAAAGGACAATACTTCAGCAAGGTCTCCCATTGATTAAGACTTAGGATTTCTCTCACTTGCAGTTTCCTTTTTAATATTTCGATAAGGTTGTCAGAATATTTAGTACTAAAAGACGTCCCTGTTTGTCAGTGAGTGCCAGTAAAAGGTGCTGCGGGTTACAGGAGAAGAAAAGGCAGTAGCACCTCTGCCCCTGTCCTGCCCCCCCAAATATCGTGAGGGACAGTAGCTAAACATGGCCTCTAGCCCAGAATTCCTCATAGACTTGGTAAGTTAATGTATCAATAAGATACTATTTATAAGAACTAAGAGATGTTTCATTTTTTAAAAATGCATGTTTTTTAAAATCTCTTTTGTATTTATTCTTGATCATACAGGTTTGCAGTGGCCATCCCTCTATCTTATAAAATATTACAGAAACATACAGACAGTATCAAAATAAAAATTTCAACAGCTTGTTGTCCTTATCAGCTCTGCAGAAATATATCCTGTTATAATTAACCTAAAGATTGCACACTTACAGGAAGTAAAAACAGTTTAATAAAGGACACACTAATGATTAACTTACACAAAAATTCCAGATATTGAGTGGCTTAATAGTTACAAGAAATTCTGTGCGTTAATCATACAAATAAGTATTCTAGTTTCCACCAACCAGCGCGTTATACGATATTAAAATAGTAATCTTTTTTTTTAGGAACAGAAACTATAAAGCAAGAACAAAGACGCAAAAGGGTAGGCGGTATCTGCCAGTGGCGGGAGTTTTAAACTTTGAATCCACCAATGAATCTCAACACTTACCCGTCTGCCTATCAGAGAAGACACCAGTGCTATATATAGCCCCCGAGGAGGTGCAGGGCGGCAGTGTCGCTGTGGGGAGCTCCGGGAGCGTGTGATTGGCAGCGATGGCGCGCACAAAGCAGACGGCGCGTAAGTCGACGGGCGGGAAGGCGCCCCGCAAGCAGCTGGTTACTCAAGGCGGCCTGCAAGAGCGCCGGGCCACGGGCGGCGGGAGAAGCCGCACCGCTACCGGCCCGGCACGGAAGCGCGAGATCCGGCGCTACCAGAAGTCGAGTTGTTGATCCGCCAAGCTGCCCTTCCTCCAGCGCCTTGGTGCGGGCGAGATCGCGCAGGACTTCAAGACCTGACTCGTGCTCTAGAGTTTCGGCCGGGTCATGGTGCTGCAGGAGGCCAGCGAGGCCTACCTGGTGGGATTCTTCGAGGACACCAACTCAGGCAAACCATCCATGCCGCTGCCACCATCATGCCCAGCGACATCCAGCTTCGGCTCGATCCGCGGAGAGCGTGCTTGCTTCCAAAGAAAAACAGCACCACGGTTTTAGAAAGCATTTTACCGAATGATGTGCCTTGTTGTTTCTCACTACGTACACAATAAAAAGAACTGGGACACTGAAATAAGCTGGGGTTTCTTCCATTAATTATTATAATTTTCAAAGTACTCCTGACAACCTTATCGAAATATTAAAAAGGAAACTGCAGAACAGTGAGGGAATATACACAAAGTCCTTAAATCAGTGGGGAGACCTTGCTGAAGTATTGTCCTTTGTTCACTTAAGGGTACAGAAGGGACTGGGGTGCTGTGTCCTTGTCATTTCAGAAAGTCTGTAGTTTTGAAAGACCGGGAAACGTAGGGGTGCCGCGATGCTAAAAAAGGGAGAAATCCTTCTGCGGGGAAAATGCTCAGAGTGCAAGAAGGTACCGCCTATCCTGACTCCCCTTATTTTCTCCCGCTCACTGAAACATCCCGGGTGTCTCTCTCTTCCCCTCTATTTCCGCAACTGAGCTCTGGTAACCCGCACTGTGTATGCCGGCGGCTTTCAAGGACTAGAGCAAAGAAAAGCGAGGGGGAGCGAACCCTCCCGGGGTCCGGCAGCGGGAGCGGGAGCGGGAGCGGCGGTTCTGGGCAGGCGGGGCCGCGCGCTGAGTCCCGCCCGTGCCGCCTCGTCATTGGCCGCGTGGAGAGCGCGGGCGGAGCCTCTGGGCGGTGCGCCCGTCGCGATTGGTTCGGGCGAGATTCGCTGCGCCATTGGGCGGCTCCCTCCCCGGCGGGCTCCTTGGCCTATGGGGAGGCGGCGGCGGCGCGGAGGGAGGGGATATAAGAGCGGCGGCTGAGGGCGGGCGGCACTGAGCTGCTGCTGCTGTAGCGCGGGGCGAGAGTTTGTTGCGGAGCGAGCCAGGGAAGATGTCCGGTCGCGGGAAGCAGGGCGGGAAGGCGCGGGCCAAGGCCAAGTCGCGCTCGTCGCGGGCCGGGCTGCAGTTCCCCGTGGGCCGCGTGCACCGCCTGCTGCGCAAGGGCAACTACGCCGAGCGGGTGGGCGCCGGCGCGCCCGTGTACCTGGCGGCCGTGCTGGAGTACCTGACGGCCGAGATCCTGGAGCTGGCGGGCAACGCGGCCCGCGACAACAAGAAGACGCGCATCATCCCCCGCCACCTGCAGCTCGCCATCCGCAACGACGAGGAGCTCAACAAGCTGCTGGGCAAGGTGACGATCGCGCAGGGCGGCGTGCTGCCCAACATCCAGGCCGTGCTGCTGCCCAAGAAGACTGAAAGCCACAAGGCCAAGAGCAAGTAAAGCCGGCGGCGAAAGCGTCCCGAGCCCAAAAGCGAACCCAAAGGCTCTTTTCAGAGCCACCCACAGCCTCGAAAAAGAGCTTGAGACGCTGCGGATCGCGCATCGGGGGGGGGTTAAAGGGGGCGCTTGATTTTTGTGTGCGATTTTGGGTGTGTGCGTGGTTGTTGGGTTGAGATGTGTCTCTTTCGCGTAGCCGCGCCGGTCCGGTTCTGCCGGAGAGCTCAGTGGCAGCCGGGCGGGTCTCCGCTGTGTTCGTGAGCCGACGTGGGGGAGAGAGCTAGCTCTTGTTACTTTCCCGGGGCTGGAGGGGCGTGCTGTGCTGGCACGATCGTCCCGAGAGCGGAGCGCGGGCTCTGCCAGGCAGGGAGCGTGTCGGAGCCAATCTGCGCCCGCGCGGGCTTTTGGAAATGGCGCGGGCGGGCGCTTAACCCGATCGGCGCTGGACACGGGCCTGGGCTAGGGCGCGCTGAAAGGTGATCAAGAGGCTCCTCCACAAACCCTGCCGTGTCCGTCAAATACACCGCGTATGAGAAAACAAGGGATTATTTTCTTGGGGGCGGGGGAGGGTGTAGCCGATTTCATTCGTGTAGTACAGCCGCCGAGAAGCTGCAGACTTACATGGAAAAAGACGGGTGCTCAAAGAGCGGGAGCATGCGAAGGGAATGGCTTATAAAGCCAGAACAAACAAATACAAAGCAACACAGCCCTTTCATAGGAAGAAGTGGGTGGCTCTTAAAAGAGCCTTTGGGTTCGTTTCTCGAGGTGATCCGGGAGCGAAAGGATTTAGCCGCCGAAGCCGTAGAGGGTGCGTCCCTGGCGCTTGAGGGCGTAGACCACGTCCATGGCAGTGACCGTCTTCCTCTTGGCGTGCTCCGTGTAGGTGACGGCGTCGCGGATCACGTTCTCCAGGAACACCTTCAGCACGCCGCGCGTCTCCTCGTAGATCAGCCCCGAGATGCGCTTGACGCCGCCGCGCCGAGCCAGGCGGCGGATGGCGGGCTTGGTGATGCCCTGGATGTTGTCGCGCAGCACTTTGCGGTGGCGCTTGGCGCCGCCCTTGCCAAGCCCCTTCCCGCCCTTGCCTCTGCCAGACATGGTGCTGTCTCCGCTCGCTCTCAGCAGTCGCCGCCGCCGCCCGCGCGGGGCCCTTTATGGGCTGGGAGCCGACCTGGTTGGGAGCAGGGGCGGGCGCGGCGGCGGGGCCGGGCCTGCGCCTCCGCTCCCTCCGCTGCTCTCGGTCGCCGCCCCGGGGCCCCGGAGGCTTCTCCGCCACAATCCCCGCCTCCCTCTCTGAGTACGCCTCGCTCCGAGTCCTTGCCTTGAGTTGGCCTATCTTACCCTCTCCTTCTGCTTTCTGGGCATCATATAATTTTCTTTCAACTTTTTCAAATTGCATTTTCTACAAGATGATTTAAATGTCAGGAGCATACATTTGTAGAGCAATTTTTATTGTCCTTTCACTCTTATAATTAACGTTTTTCATTTAACTGTGTTTCTTTATCTGCGGCACAATGTATCTATTTTTCACGTTAGGTTTTTTTATAAATAGCTTATCTTTTTCTGATACTAATTATTTCCAACAGCGGATACAGATCCTATGGTTTTATTTCATTTTATTTTCTTTTGTGTGGAGCACTAAATCCTTTAACTTGTCATCTCTAGCTCTTCGAATGCTGCTTATTGTATACTGGGAATGTACTTATATGACAGTACTTTAAAAACAAACTAGGTAGAGAATATAAATGTCAAATAGAGTGTGTCCATTTTATTATTCTTTCTTCCTTTTGCCTTTTTTAGATATCTGTTTGGGGGCTACATAGGCTCTTGAACACTTTTAAATAGCATTCCATGTCAAAAAAAAATATATAGCCTAGAAGATAATTAATAACTCTTAATCATTTATAAAGCCACCAACTAACTAGAGCAAATATGGTAATAATTATTGGTTAAAAATTCTGAAACTGTATCCTAAAGTTTCTCTTAATTCTTTTACCTGTTCTTTTAGGTTATCTTTATTTGTATTTTTTTTTGCAATTTTCTTCTCAGATTCTTTCCTTCATAATTTTTCAGCATGGAGACCATTGTCTGTGCATTTGCTTTCTTCAATGCTTTTTGTTTAGTTTTTTTTTTTTTTTTTTTTGTCTCTGCTTGTTGGTGTTTGGGGGGGGTGGGCTTTTTTTTGTTGTTGTTTCAGACAATCTGCATGAAAATAATTTTATATGCAGATGAAGTTCTGATTTGTATGTTACAAACAGCAAGTTGACCTCTTCTGTTTCGCCAGTGAGGATTACTATTGAATATGTGAAATGTGAACATGGCATCTGTAAATTGATTTTCAAAATTCCCCCCATCTGCAGAAAACAGCAGAAGTCAGTATGAAGTGGCTGGCCTGGGCTTTGTTCCTGTGTATACCTCTAAACCTTCAGAGCTTGGCTATTACATAGTGATAGGAATTCTGCTAACTGCTCTCAGTGGAGTTTGGGAACTCTATGGACTGACTTTACCATATGGGGGAAAAGTAAAAAATTCCACATGGGTTAGGAATTTTTTAAACATTCTTGACTTTCCTCACTACACTATACCAAAATGTTATCTGCTTGTGCCATATCTGGAGTTTCTAAAGGGCAATAACTCTGAGTTGCCTGAGGACAAGAAGGCCTCAGTCCCATCCTACCCTTACAATTCTGGAAGGAGCTCTAATATGGTTGTTACAAAACCACTGTAGGTCACGTCATTCTTCAATCAGCTTTGGGAATCTGTTACCTGCAAAATGATTCTTTCTTAGTCATACTTATTAGTAGATCTACACTGTTGACTAAGCATAAAATGTCCCTTCTTATCATTCTCATCCTTTTACCAGCTCCAGCAGCAGCTTTTGGATCTTATGCTGTTTCAGAAATTGCTATTGCTTCACCTGAGAGAAAAAGAAAAATGAAAAGTTACAATCCATTTGAGCTTCTGCAAGCTGAGCAGCAGTGTTTCTGTCCTTCCAAGAGTGTTAGTGGACAAAAGCTTAAAGATACAGAAATAGTTTTCATCTGTATTTGAGTGGTGTTTCTGTGATTTAAACATTGATCCATTTCCTGACAATGAGGTATGGTTTTTTGTATGAGAAAAAAAAGCAATAAAACTGATATATCTCTCAAAGACGGGATACAGAGTTTTTGAGCATTTTGTAGTGCATAACCCACAATGAGCCTTGTCCTATATGCAGAAATTGTCAGACAAATAAAGTGAGCTTGCCCTACAAACAAGCCAAGAGCTTCACCCTTGTGGAAACCAAAACTTCTGGTGAAGAAATTGGCTGTTCATTTACACATGGAGTACTGAAAATAATGAATCAACAATTGTTACAGGACATTTTGACTTTAACTTGTCATTCAGGAAAAGAAGTGTCAGTAGCCACAGAGGAAAGCAATGGGAGCCTATGACTCTTCTAAGCAGAAAGAATCAGTGATTCATGATTTACTGAACAGTAGGACACCTGTGCTTGGCATCAGCTTTGAAACTGGTCATTCAAAGACAAGAAAACAATCATGTGTTACTACGAACCCCATTCTTCTTTGGAATAGGAGCAAGGGGAATGTGCAGTTTCTGTAAACAATCTGTATAAAGTTGAATTCATCCAAAGCGGGTGTGGGGTTTTGATGCAGAACTGGAACCCACCACATTTTTCTGTCAATAGTTCTTTTTTTTCTCCTTTTTTTCCCTATTCATCTCTTAAAAACAACTTTGGGTAGAATCTCTGCAAAAGCCTGTGCTATTTCATAAACATGTTTATTTCCTGGAAGAAAAGTCACAACACTTTATTAAAATATTTCAATATTACTACTGACGCTTGCTGATTTAGAAAATGAAAGGAAGGTGAATGGAGTGATGATACCCAAATACAATTTATGCCTAAAGAAACAGGAGATTATCAAAGTCTGGAGAAGCATTCCTACTATACCTGTGTTAACTACACCAAGCTGCTAATCTGAGCATTTGCTCTCTGTTTTGGGTTATATTTTATAGTGACTGAAAAATAAAATTTTAATCTACAGTGGCTGAGAAACGAAAACCTCTTTACTGGATTAAAATACAAATACTTGGATGATTTTAGGACATTATCTTTGAACACCCAAAAGCAAAATGCATCTGAATAAAAAGCCAGAGATGTAGATTATTTCTGCATCAACGCTCAGGTCTGCCCTTCCTGTGTTCTGGTTTTATGCCCATCTTTGTTTTGGTCTGCATTGTAGGGGTGATCATAATGATTTTTTTCCTAGAAGCATCCACAACCTGATTCTACCAATCTGTCCTTTCTTGGTCGCAAACCTCTCACACATGGTGGGTGGGTAGAGATTACCTCCAATGTTCAGTAATATATCTTACATGAAGCAATGATGGGCTTGAGAGATCAGCATCAGATCACTAAGTACTTCAGTTTCTAAGTAAGTTAATAAAACATTGAGATAATGAAAGCAAATAAAAAAGTGACATTCTGTTTATATTTCCAGAAATCTTGGAATCCACTTCTGCCCAAAGGAACTAGGGAGAAATAAAAAGATTACTATGAGTCTTTCAAAGTTTGATAAGGATTACAATAGTCCTTGTACAAGTCCAGAGAATTCACAGAAAGCTGCTATTAGATACGAATAGCTTGACACAAACAAACCACTTATATACAGATATCAATGGACTACAGAATTACAAAATGTTAGCTCCAGTGCCTCTGGGAGGTGTTGAACTCTCTATTCTTTGTGTCTATGTGATTACTACTACCAGTTTAGTAAAAAAAGTTTTCCTCATTGTCAGCATTCTGATACAGCGTTCAGTAATGTCACTGAGGACCTTAATTCTCCCCCATTATATGAAATAAGCATCAGATTAAGTGGGCATTAAATGCAATTTCCCATTTCTGTGTTTAATAAATAAACAATGCACAGTCCTGCAGTACACTTTACAGTTTTGTCATGATTATTATCGCAGCCAGATCATCCAAAACAAGTATTTACCTTCGTTTTATAGATTACTGAAAGAGACCTCACTAAGCTGTATTTTTTCAACATTTACCTTCAAACAGAGATTTAAAAAAACCCCGATATTCCAAATTACTAGAATAAATCTGGTACTTGCTCTGATTGTAGCCTTTTAGATTGCCCAATTAAACACAGGTAATTGGAAAAGAATATGACAGTTCACAAAAACTCAAGTTACTGTGTTATTGTTTGTTTTTTTATTTTCACAGTTCCAGGTAGTGGGAACTCTACGTATTACCTACATTTCATTCACCCTTTTATATTTACTTTTAGCCCTGAATATATCTATTTACACGTTTTTAGGAGCTGATGGTAGCCAGATACCTATTCTATGAAACACAATACTATTGAAGGCAGAGTGTTAACTGGTATTTTAAAGAAAGGAACATTGCCTTGGAAACTGAGTAAAAAAGTGCTATTACTGCAATTGCAACTACTCTGACTCCCAAATTTAACAAACGAAAGAGACTTCATTAAAATTACATTGAAAGTGCAATGACAGGAACATAAGTTTTCAAGAGGGGGCACGTCGGAGCTTTGTTCCAATGAAACACCTAAGCAGAAGGAAAGCAACACCGACTTTCACACAGGCAGCTAAAGCACAAACGCCTCCCGACAGGGCATTAGCTAAAACACTGGGATTTCTGAAGCGACACCGAGAGGGGTGATTTCGGAGGGAAGCGGCTCAGCCGAGGAGTCAGCTCGGCATCTGCGCCTGGGACCATGGGCGAAACTGTGTTACTTCCTCGGGTTTAATGTCAATTTACTCTGAGACCAACCCTCCAAACCACTCTGGCTTTGATCTGCTCTGTAGAGAACCTTCTAAAGAACAAGATGTTATGCCAGTTGTGCCCATTTAGCCCATGGTATAATTTTAATTTAAAGTAAAAACCGAAGGTTTCTCTCTGTCGAGGTCTCTGCGGCTTCACTCCACTAAGTTTCGGCGGTCGCGTTTCCCTCATGTCTGCTCCTTACAATGGGAAACTCCATCAGCTTGTAGGACAGACTCTCTCCTCTCCTCTCGGGCAGAAACGGGGTGCATCTGCAGCAAATTTCGTGAGGAAAAAGTCCTTTTTGGACCGGGAAGAAACACAACGGGCGCGGCGGCGGAGCAGCGCGCGGCGCACCAATCAGCGCGCGCGGCGCTGCTATAAAAGGGGCAGCGGCGGGGCGGCCTCCATTGTTCGCCAGGATCCCGCAAGGCAGCATGGCCGAGACCGCTCCTGTCGCCGCGCCCGATGTCGCCGCCGCCGCCGCGCCGGCTCCGGCTAAGGCTCCCGCCGCCAAGAAGCCGAAGAAAGCGGCGGGCGCTTCCAAAGCCCGCAAGCCCGCGGGGCCCAGCGTCACTGAGCTGATCACCAAGGCCGTGTCCGCCTCCAAGGAGCGCAAGGGGCTCTCCCTCGCCGCGCTCAAGAAGGCGCTGGCCGCCGGCGGCTACGATGTGGAGAAAAGCAATAGCCGTATTAAGCTGGGAATCAAGAGTCTCGTCAGCAAAGGCGTCTTGGTGCAGACCAAAGGCACTGGCGCCTCCGGCTCTTTCCGCCTTAGCAAGAAACCTGGAGAAGTGAAGGAAAAGGCTCCCAAAAAGAAAGCAGCCGCAGCTAAGCCCAAGAAGCCGGCGGCTAAGAAGCCCGCCAGCGCCGCCAAGAAGCCTAAGAAAGCGGTGACAGCGAAGAAGAGCCCTAAGAAAGCCAAGAAGCCGGCGGCCAGCGCAGCCAAGAAAGCAGCCAAGAGCCCCAAAAAGGCGACAAAGGCTGCCAAGCCCAAAAAAGTAGCGGCAGCAGCAAAGAGCCCGGCCAAGGCGAAGGCGGTGAAGCCGAAAGCAGCGAAGCCTAAGGCTGCCAAGCCGAAGGCAGCGAAGGCGAAGAAGGCAGCCCCCAAGAAGAAATAAGTGGTTCGGAAAAAATTCTGTCTGCATTGCAGATAAACCCAACGGCTCTTTTAAGAGCCACCCAAGTCTTCACAAAAAGAGCTGAAAGGTTTTCTTGTGGTTTTTGTGTATTTTTGTGTGTGCGCGCGCGCGCGCGCACGTACCATTTTAACCCCTTTTTGTCCCTTGGTTTTGCTTACTTTAGGGTGACTTCAGTAATAAGTTTTCGCGGTCTTGTTCTCCACAGGTGCTGAGCAGCATGGCAGCACAGCTCGGTTCAGGAGAATCCGCTGGTGGTGGTGCAAATAACGTCCCGTATCCGCAAGGAATCGGTGCGAGCCCAGAGACCCCTTTGGGCAGCGCTCAGGGCGTCCAGGCTCTTGGGAGCGGAGTTGGCAGTGCGGGTGCTGCAGCTCCCTGTGGTTTCTCCTGGAGACGGGAGAGCTGCTTTCGGAAGCGCCTCCGTCCGCCCCCGGAGACGGACAGATTTCGAAAAGCCCGCGCTGCGTAAAGATTGGCCGCCGCTCTCGGGCTTTTGTACTGCCCAGCAGTTTTCGGGTTAAAAAGGCGTTCCACCTTTTATAAGTTCACTCGGAAGAAGCTTAAGAACTTCCTGGTACGTTTGTTTCTTATCTTCCACTGCCGCCCCCACCTCCGGCTTCCCCCGCCCCCAGGCTTTTTCACGGCTAGTCTAGTTTTTCTCCCTTGAAAAGCCGTAGGGCGAGGGGGGGCCAGGATGCGCGGAGGTTTCGAGCTACCTTGATGTTGTCCGCAGGTCCCCCACTTCGGTGCTGAAACTCCTGCGCCTTGGAGGTGCCGGGCTCGGCGCTGAGCCGGTGTGTTCCATTTCGTCAGTGGAAACGCTCGGAGGTGGCGTTGGGCGCGGTAGGAACCCGCGGGGGTCGGAGCCTCCCTCTAACCCTGAAATGGCCTCCTTTTCACGATGAATCTCTTGTCCTAATTATGCCGGTTTAAAGAACCGGCCTCCAAGCCATATACGGAGTCGAAATATTTGTTTTTATATCATATCAATTCAGAGGTTGGTTCCAGGTGGTATATCCACAAGGCTAGTACGCTTTCAGTATGTCAGATTTTCATTCTTAAGGACTTTGAACAATAAAAAGCTGGTATTTTCTGTATATGCAACAACCTACCGGTGTAGTCACTGGTTTTGTGTTCTCTCATCTCCTTTTAAAGATACAGTGTACATGTTCTATGAGGAAGGGACTTATGTGAGTAAGAGGCACTCGTAGTCCAGGAGTGGGTATTTACCACATTATTGAGCTCTAAGTTCAAGCAAAGTTGTTCTTTGGGTTCGTAGTTTCATATATAGTGTTCTCCAGCTCTTGCTTCTCAGGGCATGGCTCTTGGTTCTTGCAGGTTATTTCCTCATTTCTCATAAGTGCTTCTATTAGTGCTGTACTCAACTTCTGTGAATTTGCTACCTTTTCATGGTACTTTATGCATCAACTCAGCCATGCTCTACTTCCCTTCCTTTTACTCAATTGATGCCCTTCTCTTAGTTCTGGGTGTGTGCAGGGATGGGAAGCAGTCAGGGAGCAGTGAGGGGAGAGAGGCTGTTTCCTTGCTTTAGTCATGGTGCTGGTACTCCTGGTTCCCTAATGAGCAGGAGAATGGGGAATTTCAGGGAATTTCCCACTTAGCTCTCAGCTCTCAGCAGAGGTGGTTAATCTCATGCCCATAGCTGTTAACCTTGTATATCTCAAGGGATCACCTGGAAACTGGGTCCCTGCAGTTTGGAGGAGAAATGGTAGGATTTGATTTCACCAGTATTCATGTTTTCACAGACTGACGGCATCCTAAATCTCTACTAAAAGGAGAAAAAATACAAAACAGAGCATCTATTTTTAAGTCCTGTCCTGAAACACTGTTCTTACTCTGCACTGCCTCTTAGGGTGAATCCAACATTTTGATCCTTGCTCGAGTTTGTGATCTGTTCCTTTACATAACATACACACTGGCATACACACCCCACTTTTCCTGAAATTATCTTGCCATATCCCTTCACCCCAACAGCCTGAATTCCTGAGCTCACTTGTCTGGGCCCCTGTTTGGGGTGGAGATGTGCTTACCAGACTTTCACAGTTAGCATAAGTGGAGGGTGTCAGGAATGGCACATGCTAATTCTCAAAGGGTTTCACCCGACTGGGTGCACTGACCCAAAGAGAGTGGGTCAACTGCGATTTTCCAGCCTGCTACCACTATTTCTGGGAGAGAAACTAGAGGGGAGGCATTTTGACTGGGTATGGTCAAAGTGCATGTATGTTGTTATAGTAAATGTGATATGCTTAATTTATTCTTAAAGCCGAGCTTGAAAAGGCAAAACGCATTTATAGTCACGTGGGCAAAACCGTATCACACACATCCCTTCTAATTGAACTGAACTCAACAGGACAGCCCTGGAATAAAACTTCAGCCTCTGGATAAGTCTAGGTAATGACAGAAGTTCAGTTTTAGCCACTTGTAACTTATCCTCGCTGCTCACTTTGGGAGAAAAGGAGTTCCTTTTCTGAAAGGTAAGAGGGAAAACTCAAACTGTTGTGACTATATTTTAAGAAAATTCAGTTGGAGCAGTTACACACTTCAGATATTGCAGTAGAAGGGATTTAGAAAATTAGTGGATTACTGAACACAAGTGGTGGAGAGCACTGGCCTATGCACAACAATACCTTTACAGGCAAAGACTATATAGCTGTGGCTTCAACTGAATAGACTTTATAGTTCTTAGCTGGAGATAGCTGCTAAATTATGTAAGACATTGTTCCTCACTACAGAAAGGAAGTGTATATATATGTAGGAACACTGAACATACTGGCTGTTTAGGCTCCAGTGTCCAGTACAGGAACAAAATTAACATCCAACCAAAAACTCCTGTTAAACTTGTAAAGCTGGGTTGGGCAGCGTAGCCTAGATACCTACTGGATTTTTTTCTTCCTACTGGAAAAAGGGAGCGCAGTGACTAAGAGCAAGAGTGGCCTGAGAAAAATCATACTGCAGGGATAAGTATGTCATTTTTATGCCAATTGCACCGCTGGCATGTAAGTCTGTAATCCTAATTCATCATTTCTTATTCTCCTTAACCCCTCAGCATTGTGAATGCCAGGTCATTTTATCTATGGGATAGGTGTGCACAACTCCAGACTGATTCTCCCTTTAGAAATGGCCTATGTTAAATTACCAAGTCACTGCCATGATGTCCAATTAACGTGAGTCCCTCAGGACCACACATAATCTTCACCAGGTTTCTCTCCAGCTCTCAAAGCAGATTCCTATTCTGATCATAAGGAAAGTTGATATTCTTAAAAAAATTTGCTGTCATGCCTCAGGTTTCTAGTTAACTTGCTGAACTGAGGTTCAAATGTGTGATTTATGATTGCAGTGAAGAGGGAACACATCTCACTGTTCTATGACATCTTTTTTGGACATTAGTTTGTTTTGTCAAATATGTTAAGATTATGATATTGGGGGAAAAAAGGAAAAGAGATGAGCTCTGGTCGGTATCTTCTAAGACTGTGCTGTATGGTAAAGTGGACAGATTGAAAAAACCTTGAAACGTGTACAAAATGAAAAATCAAACCTCAAAACAACTAAGAAGCCTAATGTTTGATTTTCTTATAATACTGATGAACTGGTCACATTCGTTATGACAAGGAACATCTTCCTTGCTCCTCATGCCTTTATCTCCATACCTCTCCTAGGTGGATGTCTTTTCTATGAACCAATGAGCAGAAACTTCTCCAGACATTTCCTACCACATTCAGTAGTTGTATTAATATCCCAAAATAAGATGCCATCAAGACTTCTGTATTATTTGACAGAACATCTCTATTTATTGAACTACTCTTGTCTGCTATGTCATGTGCCCAGCATGTTCCACATTTGCAAAGTACTCAGACTAACAGATATTCCGAGATGAATAGCAGATTTGTTAAATTTCTGCAGTGCCCTCACTGCATGAACATTTCCTTATACTGGGGACTCCAAGGAATACCACTGTTTGGAAAGCAGGTGATAGGGAAAACAGAGCTTTAGGATCTCAAGCAGAAAAAATATTTTGTTTTGTGAATAATTCTCAGCTGGGAATGGGATGGCAACCAGGCTGATTAGGAATTCTGTGCAAAAATTTGACACAGAGAACTGAGCTGCTGTTAGTGAAAGAGGAAGTGGTTTAATAGGAAGAGAGAAAACAGGCCAGTGTTTAGGGGGCAGTCACACTTCGACAGAAAAGTAAAGGACCTGCTTTATGATTTTAAGTTCTAAGATGCCCCAAAATCAAGAGGAAGGTCAAAAAGAAAAGAGTTCAGCACTTCAAAATATTACAGTTACATTTCTCTTCCGTAAGGTCAGCTATTTATTTCATAGATGTACTTATTAGATAAATGTGCATATCAAAAGTTTATGGTGTTCCATCACTGGAAGGAGAAATGGAGAAAGAAAATAATGTCAGATGGATCAGTGAGTTAGATAAAGGTCTAAAAATAGTAGAACAGACTGTTAGCAACCTGCCAAGAATTCTGTTTAAGTTAGTCATTCACAGAATAATAAATTCGCTTGGTACTGGTGAACACATCTATGATGGAGTTACAGAATTTTTCATCAGCATTAGTCACCACAAAGCCCAATTGTCTGTCAGATTGCCACAAAACCAGGTAATTTTCATGTATGTATTTCTTTAAGTCTTTGTTGTCTGTTAGTGAGTTATGTTACTCCTGTGTTTCTTGTGTATCTGTATCTTTTATGGTAGTTGTTGTCGTGTGAGAGTAAGAGTTTATTCAGATGGCCTCAGCATGTGTTTGAAAAATGATAAAAATATCTCTCTTAGAGGCTCACTTCCTAAAAACATCAAAGCTGAAGTTTTATTCCAAGTGAAACTGATCAAATAGTTTCCACAAAAAGCTGCTCCATTTAACTGAGAAAATTGGAATCTAATCTTACATAAAAGGCTGACCTACCTTAGCTTGGGCAAAAAGATGTTTCAAATTTGTGCTAGAAACAGTGTTATAACAAAGGCTTGTTTTCAGTATTGCTGAGCAACACTCACT